TTATTTGTACTGATTTTGATAGTTCCATATCTGAAACAATGTTTTCAGAATGCAGAATAACAGGCAAAGCATGGTGTTTTTTTTTTTCTTCTTTTTCTTGATTAGCTTTTATACATGCTTAGACTATCGTTTCAAAATTCTGGAATGACATTTGAACTCTGCTTTCTACTTTGCATTTCCCTCTCAGTTATTGGTCGATTGATCTGCTATCTCTCTCTGTAACCTCAGCATCTGGAGTCCTCACAGATCCTGCATGCACCCTGGCCTTTAACAACATGCAGAGCTTGAGACTCAGATCTGCTATCCTGCCCTTGCTTCAGTGGGAATAGATTCCTCTCTTTCATCTTTCAGAGTGATAGCTTACGGTGAACGATGTCAGATTCGTGATCTCCAAAGAGCTTTCGTATAGCAGAGTTTTATTAAAGTATAAAAAAGGGACAGAGAAAGCTTCTGACATAGACATCAGAAGAGGGATGGAAAGTGCCCCCCTCCCTAGTCTTAGCAAGGGAGCTATATACTTTAAAAATTGATTATTACAGTAAATCAGAAGAATGTATCAAGGTATTAAGGGTCTTACTAGACCCACTCTCACAATTTACATTTTAAGATGACAGAATTAGAACTAACAATAGAAAGATCTTACCAGACCCACTCCTATAATATACATTTTAAGATAACAGGATTAGTCAGAAGGTTTTCAAGAAGGAGAAACTGTCCTCAAGCTGGATATATTGTTGCTATATAATCCTTAGTACAGAGTTTAAGCTGAGCTGTTTTAGTGTATAATCATCAGCTCTGGGCTTAAAGAAAAAAAACGTTTTATGTGACTAAGGAATGTAGAAAAAATGTCCTTTTCTCTCCTTGGGAACTCCAGATCCCTATCTACTCTTTGAGAGCCCCAGACCCCTCTCTCCTCCTAGGGGTCGCTGGACTTCTTATCAGCCTGCCTAGGAACTGACTCTCTCAAGAGCATTTTGCACACCATTCTGTAACAGCAGGAGGAGGAGCTAACCACTGATACCAGTTTCTGTGATTCAGGCTCTGTTCCAAAGTCCTCACATTTACCCATTTGCTCAATTCTTATGACAACCATCTCTGATTGGTGCTATTGTCATCCCCATTTTACAAATGAGGAAACTAAGACACAAAAAGGCAAAGACATCTACCAACGCCCCAATACCCTTCTGTCAGACTTGAATGCTTTTCCTTCTTGCTCCAAGTTTCCTGCACTCCCTGGGGTGCTGAGTGCCTCTCACAAACCATGTTCTATGGAACTCATACCATTGTTAGACTGTGGTCCTGCAGACATGGTAACAGTTAGAAAAGCAGGTCTGGGTGTGTCTATCTTCTCTAGCTCTTGTTGGGTAAGCAAGCTGCTATTCAGCTTTGTGTTCATGCTTGGCACACACTAGGTACTCCATAGGTTTTAGTTGAACAAATAAGTCAGTGAGTCAGTGAGTAGAGTTTGTGCCTATCCAAAGGAATTGAAATCAGGATCTTGAAGAGATATGTGCTGCCATGTTCACTGAGGCTTTATTCACAATATCCAAGACACAGAAACCATAAGTGTTCATAATTAGAAGAATGAATAGAGGCAACAAAAGCATCCATCAGTAGATGAATGAATAAAGAAGATGTGATATATATATATATACATACATATATATATAATGTTGGAATATACATATATATTGGAATATATTATGGGAATATAAGCTGGACTATATATATTCTATATATATGGAATATTTCATATACATATTTGAAAAATATCACAATGGAATGTTATTCAGGCATGATAGATTAGGAAATCCTACCATTTGCAACAATATGAATGGATGTTGATGACAAAGTGAAATAAATGAAAGGAAAGATGAATACCAAATGAAATCACTCATGTAGGATTTAAAATAGTCAAACTCATTGAAACAGAGTAGAATGACAGTTTCCAGGGCCTGGGGAGAGACAGAAAGAGGGAAATGTTAGTCAGAGAGTGGGCAGTTTCTATTATGCAAGGTGGATGAGTCCTGGAGATCTGCTATACAGTATAGAGCCTGTAGCTAATAATACTAAATTATGTAGTTAATATTTGTTTATGGTAGATCTTATATTGTGTTCTCACCACACACACAAAGTCAATTTTCCCCACATAATAGGGTGGGGAGAAACTTTGGGAGGTGATAAATATGCTTATAGCCTTGATGGTGGTGATAGTTTCACAGGTATATACTTAGCTCAATTAAGTGGTGAAGAAAAATAACAGTCAGTGGTTACTGTATTGTCTACTGACCTCCTCCATGTGACAGCTTGGAAGTGAATGGGATCTGCAGTCTGATAGCCAGGTTATGCTTTCAATTATCTATTTATGCTGCTATGGTATTCTCCATCACAGCCCCCTCAGTGTCATCAAAATACTCAAATGACTGCTGTCAGAGTCAGAGGGAACATTCATTGAGCTGCAGTTGAATTTCCTCTCCTTTCTACCCCAGTGGCCATTGAGGGGAGGCCAGGTATCTCTGGCTGTAAGCAGGCTCAGCTTTGAGAGCTTCAGTTTGGAAAATCCAGTGATGTGAGTAACCGTTAGTCTCTGCTTTTGCCTGTGATGCAATTCTGTTTGCTCCAAACTGAGACCACATCCTTCCTGCTGGGTTGTGACTGCTATAAATTCATCTAGTTTCTTCTCCGGCTATTCCCGAGGCTGACGTCTGGGTGAGTCCAGCTCTTTGGAGTGGGTGGCTGAAATAGCCTGGGGAAGAGTGGGGAGATTGTTTCAAGGGGCAGAATTTGGCTAGAGGTTCCTCCTGCCAGCCTTCAAGTCTATCCTTCAACAATGTTTCTGGAATGTTTCTTTTATGTTTATCAATATTTGGTCACTATGTGTGCCAGTGTATGTGTGTGGGGAATGGGGGTCAGGAACAGTGAAATGGCTCATGCTCACTCCCCCAGAAAGTGGATAGATGGGATGCATGTAAGGAAATGAGCATATTTAGAAACCAAGGGACAGAGAAGGTAAAGGTCAGGGTTTAGAAACCAAGGGACAGAGAAGGTAAAGGTCAGGGTTGGGGAGCACTAAGGTTAGGGATAGGGTAGCACAGAGGAGAGGAAGAGTCCAGATATGGATGGAAAGTTTGATGCAGTGGGACCTGGGAGGGTCGGCAGAGCTGGTGGATCTGTCTGGAGTACCCCCTCTCCTCCTGCCACCTGCCAAATGCGTAGGGGATGGACTTGACAGGGGTTGGCGGGGAGTGGGCGATGCAAGACGTGAGGAGTGGAGAGGCAGGAATGGAGACAGAAGGAGAGTTGAACATGTTTGAGGTGTCTTGAACATTAAACTGGGTTTTTATGAATTCCAGTTTGGAGAGTTTGAAAGCTTCATAAGCTTTCCCTGGTGGCTCAGATGGCAAAGAATCTGCCTGCGATGCAGGAGACCTGGGCTCATAGGGCTTCTCCCTTCCTGTGATCCTTTTCTAAATTCAATAATATGAAGAGATCAATTCCAAACAAAGCCAATGTGCTCATCCATCCAAAATCTAGAAATTGTGTATGATCAAGAGATATAGCAGCTGATTTCAAGTCTTTGTGGAACTTGAAGTCTAGTTAGGAAACCGAGACATTGAACACTACAATGTGGTTGAACACTACTCCGTGTGATAAAACCTGGGAAAGTGTTTTTGTTTTTTAACAATCTGATTTTTGGTTTTCCCTGGTGGCTCAGATGGTAAAGAATCTGCCTGCAATGCAGGATGGGTTCTATCCCTGGGTCAGGAAGATCCCCTGGAGAAGGAAATTGCAAACCACTCCAGTATTCTTGCCTGGAGAATTCTAAAGAAACCTGGTGGGCTACAGTCCATGGGGTCACAGAGTCCGACACAACTGAGCAACTAACGCTTTCACTTTCATCTATATTTTTTTTATCATCTTCAGCCATTTTTTACTCCTACTTGACTGAGATACCTACTTAAATGGTGGAAGAAATGTTCTCACACTTTTTTATGCCAAGAAAAATGCAATGTTAGGGGCATGACTCAGAAATCAGTGACCCTAGTGTAAATCTTGCCTTTGTCCCTCCCGGCTGTGAAACTCTGGGCAAGTCACTTAGCCTAAGACTCAGTTTCTACTTCCATACCATGGAACTAGGAATATAATTTTTCAGTTTTGTGCATCAGTACAACACCTAACTCATGAGAAGCTCTCAATAAATGTGAGTTCTAATAATTATTATAATTGTGAATTTTGCAAGGAGAGATTAAAGAAATGTATATATTTATCATTCTTCCTTATCACCCCAAGGTCCATCCCATTTCAGTGTTAATCAATCAATGTGTTGATAAAGGGGTTGTTGCAGATTATGCCTTCCTCTGCCTGCTTCTATGTTCTCTTTCCTTCTCTCTAGACATATACTGTTCTGTTATCACCATCATCACTCATTCCTGGCATCTTTTCTTCTCTTGTCCCTCATTCATCTTTCCTTGGTTCAAAACAGAAATAAGAAACCAGAGTCTTTCAGTTGGAAGGAAGGTAAAAAAATCTTTTCCACTCTGCCATTTTATAGATGCGGAAACTGAAGTTGAAAAATAGTGGGGAGATCTTCCAGGGTCATCCATAGCCAGTAATCAGTGGGATCAAAGTTCTTTTGGTGATACATCAAGGTGGCATCAGGAAACGGTTTAAGACTGCATTGCACTGTTAATGTGATTGTGTTAGTGATTTTGTTTCTCTCCATAGGGGCACCTTTCTTCCATGGCTCAGGACACACACCTGGGTCGAGCCAATAGGAAAACTTTCTGGTAAGACTTTGACTCACTTTTAAAAGCTAAAGGTGGCAACTTGTTAGAATCCAGTGATTTTTTTTTTTCCTTTCAATTTTCTGGGTTTTTGATACTTTAGTTCTCTCTGAGGGTAAATTTCTGAAAAGACTTCTTAACCATATGCTGTTTGCACCACCCAACTTCCAAGTGTGGATTTATGCCCAAGGACTCTGACTGGGGCTGCCGATAAGCATGGTGAGTGTTCGCTGCAAGCTGGCTCGTTACCTGGAGGACCTGGAAGACATAGACTTTAAGAAATTCAAGATGCATTTAGAAGACTATCCCAGTCAGAAGGGCTGCACCTCAATTCCTCGGGGTCAGACAGAAAAAGCAGATCATGTGGATCTAGCCACACTGATGATTGATTTCAACGGGGAAGAGAAGGCATGGGCCATGGCCAAGTGGATTTTTGCTGCCATCAACAGGAGAGACCTTTACGAGAAAGCTAAGAGGGATGAGCCAGAATGGGGTGAGTGGAATGAAGACAGTACTTTTAAAAAATCATGATAAAATATACATAAGATAAAATTTACTATCAGACATTTTTAGTGTATGATGCAGTGGTGGTAAGCTCATTCACACTGTTGTTCAATCAATCTCCAGAATGCTTTTTCATCTTGCAAAACTCTGTACCCATGAAACAATTCTACCCTCCCCTCAGCCCCTGACAACCACTTTCTGTTTCTATGAATTTGACTATCTAGTACCTTTTATAAGTGGAATCATAGAATATTTGTCTTTTTGTGTATCAGCATAAACTTCCTCAAGCTTCGTGCACATTGTCTCATATGGCAGGATTTCATTCATTTTTAAGGTGGAATACTATTTTGTGGCATGTGTATACCACAGTTTGTTCATTCATTCATCCATCATTGGACTTTCTAATTGCTTTTAGCTTTTGACTATTGTGAATAATGCTTCTATGAACATGATTGTACAAATCTCTTTGAGATCTTGCTTTCAATTCTTTTGGGTTTATTTCCAGAAGTGGAATTACTGGCTTATATGATAATTCTAGTTTAATTTTTTGAGGAATTGCCATAATGTTTTCCACAGTAGATGTGCCATTTTACATTCCCACTAACAGTGCACAAGGGTTCTGATTTCTTCACATCCTTACTAACATTTATGTTTTCTTTTTTTTGATAGTAGCAGTCCTAATGGGCATAAGATGTTATCTCATTTATATTTCCCTATTGACTAGTGATATTGAACCTCTTCTCATGTGCTTGTTAGTCATTTGCTTATCTTTGGAGAACTGACTATTCAAGTTCCTTTCCCATGTTTTAAATGGGTTGTTTGTCTTTTGCTGTTGACCTTTAGGAGTCCTTTATATATATCCTGGATATTAACCTGTTATCAAATATATGCAAATATTTTCTCCCATTCTGAGGGTTGTCTTTTCACTCTGTTGATGGTATCAAAGCTGATATATATTTTTTAATCACTTATTATCTTGGCTTTATCATCTATTTTTTCTTCTCATGATAGTGCTATGAGAAGATGGAGGAAAGCAGTTTTCTTTTTTCTAACTCCTTTAAAAACCTGTCAGGGCTCACATACCCATAAGAAACTTCACACTTTATTCACATCTCTCTGAGGCCTGGACTTCCACCAAGTCTTCATCTAGCATCTAAGTATCTACCTGCATGGTTAACAAAATTGGATCTCTGCTTCCCATGGCTTAGGGGCAATCTCTCAGCTTAGAGAAGTATGTAATTTCTGCAGAAAAGCTTTTCCTATGGTCATTAATTTGGGCATTGGAATTGGTGAAAGAAATCCTCTTCATCTCTGTGGACATATGGTGAGGTTCTTCCTTCTGGCTTGGTGTTCTGAGCAAGGGAAGGGTACAAGAAAGGGCTCAGAGGAACCTAGAAAATCACAAGATGATGATGTTGAGCTAGTGAAAAAGAGTAATAAAAATGAATCAGTGTTTCTGAAACAGACAAAAATGGAGGTGTATATGTAGTACATCTATGCCATTTGAAGTCAGTTTTATAGACGTAAACTTCTGTTTTCTAATGAATTATTTTCTATTTACCTGCTTTTTCTTCTAACCTTGTTTTGTCCACATTGGCATATCTAAAAGTTAATTTAAAAAGTATTTATACTGGCAAATATAAAATAGATCAGTAGATCACAAGCAGAGTGAGGTGGGGGAGAAATATGGATCTAATGAGGGAGATAAAAAATAGGGGCATGAAGGCAGGTGTGTTTATCAGTGTGATGATATAAACAAATTGTTTATAATAGCATAATTATAATTGCATCAGTACTGACATTTTCAATAACCATGTTAAAGTGTAATAATCAAGGTTGCTTCCCTGGTGGCTCAGATGGTAAAGAATCTTCTTGCAATGCGGGAGACCTGAGTTGGATCCCTGGGTTGGGAAGCCCCCTTGGAGAAGGGAATGGCAACCCACTCCAGTATTCTTGCTTGGAGAATTCCATGGACAGAGGAGCATGGCGGGCTACAGTTCATGGGGTCACAAAGACTCAGACAAGACTGAGGGCTGACACTTTCACTTTCAATCGTGGTTGCAGAAGTAGTTCACTAAGCAGATTTTATGGATTTTATTTATTCCTCACAAGAACCCCTCGAGGCCTGTGCTTTTTCAAATAAGTTTTCAATTTCATTATACTAAGTGATATAAGTCAATCACAAAAAGACAAATATTCTGTGATTCCATTGTAACAGGTACCTGGAGTAGACAAATTCATAGAGACAAAGTGGTGATTTCCAGGGACTGCAAGGAATGGGGAATGGAGAACTGTTGTTTAATGGATTTAAAGAATTTCATTTTCACAAGATGAAAAGTAATTCTGTAGAATGGTTGCAAAACCATGTGAAATGAGCCTGGAAAAAGTTACAGTTGTCCATCGCTCTGTTCTAACCAGAGCCAAGCCTGGATTCAATGCCAAGTGTCTCTTTGGTGGAATAACCATTATGCCATTTGGCTTATACATATAGGTTTTGGGGGTGGAAGGATTACACGTAGGGTTAGAAGGTTTTTTTTTTGGGGGGGGGTTGCTTTTTGTTTCAGGGGGCTGGCTGGTGTTACATTTTAGGTAAAAATGGTTTGAGTTAATGTTTAGATTTTATTTTGTGGTTTGGTGTGTGTGGGTTAGCAGCATTTGCATTCAGAACAAGTAGATACCTCAGGAATCTTTTATATAGCTCTGGAGTTCCTGCCCACCTAAATTTATCTGTCTCATGCATTTGCCCTGGTACCTATCTCTTGTTTTGCTGTGTCTAATTTCTCTTATAAGATACCTCTTTTGGATGTGTTATTTATTGATTGTTCAAGTCTATAATTCTCAGCTGTGGATGCATGTGGGCCTTTTAAAATAAAAAGGTGCCTTCTACTTGATACTCTGTAATGACCTATATGGGAGTAGAATCTAAAAAAGAGTATATATATGTATATATAAGTGTGATTCACTTTTCTGTACAGCAGAAAACTAACAGCATTGTAAATCAACCCTACTCCAATAAAAATTATTTTAAAAATAGATGAATATAATGGTGCCTGGGCTCCACCTCAGAGAACTGAAAAAGGATCATTGGGAGTAGAGTCCTAGAATCAAATTTTTAAAAACTTTCTAAGCGAATCTAAAGTTAGTCAGGATTCTGAATTAGATATAAGTCAGATGGGTTATTCTTGCTTTTGAAGACTCCAAATAAGGGTCAGATGAATTCCAGGCATTTGGGCTCAAGGGCAGATGATACTGCTGGCCTTAGACCATCCTGGGGATACCTGAGAGTGTGGCGAAGGCCTTAAAACCAGAGCACAAGGGAGGGAATCTGCCAAAGCCAAATGAGGATGAGAAACTTTGATGCCTCATATGTTTGCCTTCTGATTTACAGGCTTGGGAGATAGATTCCAAGACTGGATACAATGAGGACACAATATTAGTTGGTATCCATTGCTTTGAAATTAGGAGTACAGGAATGCTTCCAGCTGGACATTCAACTGAGCTGTATTTTGGTTTGGGAGATGTTCAGGGCAGGTGGCTTTGACCTGTGCCAAATGTTGGCTATTGGATTTCAATTGTTTTTGTTGTTCAGTTGCTCAGTTGTGTCTGACTCTGAGACCCCACGGACTGCAGCACGCTAGGCTTCCCTGTCCTTCACCATCTTCCGGAGCTTGCTCAAACTCATGTCCATTGAGTCCATGATACCATCAAATCATCTCATCCTCTGTCATCCCATTCTCCTCCTGCCTTCAATCTTTCCCAACATCAGAGTCTTTTCTAGTGAGTTGGCTCTTTGCATCAGGTGGCCAAAGTATTGGAGTTTCAGCTTAGCATCTGTCCTTCCAATGAATATTCAGGGTTAATTTCCTTTAGGATTGACTGGTTTGAACTTCTTGCAGTCCACAGGACTCTTAAGGGTCTTCTCCAACACCACAGTTCGAGAGCATCAATTCTTTGGTGCTCAGCTTTCTTTATGGTCCAACTCTCACATCCATGCATGACTACTGGAGAAACCATAGCTTTGACTAGATGGACCTTTGTCTTTGGATTTCAATGACATCACCTTAATCAGGAGACCTGGTTTTTGACGCTTTGTATTTTCTTCCTTTAATTCTCAGAGAATGCAAATGTTTCTGTACTAAGTCAGGAAGAAAGCCTTGAAGAAGAATGGATGGGTTTACTGGGATACCTTTCCAGAATCTCTATTTGTAGGAAAAAAAAAGGTAAGCAATATAGGTGGTACTTCTGATTGGGTTTAGAGACCTGGTTCTATAGGTACTTGAAGCTCAGAAGGTGGATAACTTGGTGATCCTAACATGTTCCTTGGGGTGAAAAGGTCTGTCTTAGGAAATCCACTTTAGCTTAAGAAATAGATTCCTTGCAGTCCCAGAACCATGGGTGGGCACCTGAATGTTTCAGGTTTTACAGGGCATGAGCTGCAGACTATGTAAAGGAGTAAGATTGAATGAAAAAGGACTTTCTGGTCAGGGCCAATACATATGGCACTTTGCTATTCTTCTGTTCAACTGTGTCTGGGAAGATTTCGACACCCTGTATTTTCTGGGGCTATCCATACCCCAGGCAGTGGCAAGAAACTGCAACTCCCATTTTTCAATATCAGTTTCCATTCCTTAGAGACCACCAGCCCCTGTTGATAGCTTGTCTCTGGTGGATGTGGTCAAGCTTCTTCTGAAGTCTAACTTTCTGTCTCTGACACAGATTACTGTAAGAAGTACAGAAAATATGTGAGAAGCAAATTCCAGTGTATTGAAGACAGGAATGCCCGTCTGGGTGAGAGCGTGAACCTCAACAAACGCTTCACCAGGCTGCGTCTCATTAAGGAACACAGGAGCCAATGGGAGAGGGAGCAAGAGCTCCTTACCATTGGAAGGACCTGGGCCAAGATACAGGATAGTCCTGTGAGTTCTGTGAACTTGGAATTGCTGTTTGATCCTGAGGACCAGCACTCTGAGCCTGTGCACACGGTGGTATTCCAGGGAGCAGCGGGCATCGGGAAAACAATACTGGCCAGGAAGATCATGTTGGACTGGGCATCAGAGAAACTTTACCAGGATAGATTTGACTATTTGTTTTACATTCACTGCCGGGAGGTGAGCCTTGGGACGCAGAGGAGCCTGGGGGATCTGATTGCCAGCTGCTGCCCTGGCCCAAACCCACCCATAGGCAAGATTGTAAGCAAGCCTTCCAGGATCCTCTTCCTCATGGACGGCTTTGACGAGCTTCAAGGTGCCTTTGATGAGCACACAGAAGCACTCTGCACGAACTGGCAGAAGGTGGAGCGGGGAGACATTCTCCTGAGCAGCCTCATCAGAAAAAGACTGCTTCCTGAGGCCTCACTCCTCATCACCACAAGACCTGTGGCTCTGGAGAAACTTCAGCACTTGCTGGGCCAGGCTCGTCATGTGGAGATCCTGGGTTTCTCAGAGGCCAGGAGGAAGGAATATTTCTTAAAGTATTTCTCAGATGAGCAGCAAGCAAGGGAAGCCTTCAGGCTGATTCAGGAGAATGAGATCCTCTTCACCATGTGCTTTATTCCTCTGGTCTGCTGGATTGTGTGCACTGGGCTGAAACAGCAGATGGATAGTGGCAAGAGTCTTGCTCGGACATCCAAGACCACTACTGCAGTGTATATCTTCTTCCTCTCCAGCTTGTTGCAATCTCAGGGAGGGAGTCAGGAGAACCACAACTCTGCTACCCTCTGGGGTCTCTGCTCATTGGCTGCAGATGGAATCTGGAATCAGAAAATCCTATTTGAGGAGTGCGATCTCAGAAATCATGGCCTGCAGAAGGCAGATGTGTCTGCTTTCTTGAGGATGAACCTGTTCCAAAAGGAAGTGGACTGTGAGAAATTCTACAGCTTCATCCACATGACTTTCCAGGAGTTCTTTGCTGCCATGTACTACTTGCTGGAAGAAGATAATCATGGGGAGATGAGAAACATGCCTCAGGGTTGTTCAAAGCTTCCCAACCGAGATGTGAAGGTCCTTCTCGAAAACTATGGCAAATTCGAAAAGGGATATCTGATTTTTGTTGTCCGTTTCCTCTTTGGCCTTATAAACCAGGAGAGAACCTCCTACTTAGAGAAAAAACTGAGCTGCAAGATCTCTCAGAAAATCAGGCTGGAGCTGCTCAAATGGATTGAAGCAAAAGCCAAGGCCAAGACACTACAGACTGAGCCCAGCCAGCTGGAACTGTTCTATTGTTTGTATGAGATGCAGGAGGAGGAATTTGTGCAAAGGGCCATGGGCCATTTCCCCAAAATTGAGATCAAGCTGTCCACCAGAATGGACAATGTGGTTTCTTCTTTTTGTATTGAGAACTGTCGCCATGTGGAATCCCTTTCCCTGAGGTTGCTCCATAACTCACCCAAGGAGGAGGAAGAAGAGGAGGAAGTTAGACACTCTCATATAGACCATTCTGTTCTCTCTGATTCTGAGGTTGCATATTCTCAGCGGTAAGGAGATCTTGCTTCAGGCAATTGGTACTATATGTCTTCTACTTTCTACTGATTCTTGGCACTTACTCTCCTTTGTCTTCAACAGTCTTGCAAATGCAGTTTACACAGCTACAAAACAATGCCATCATCACTCATTTCTATCAGACTCCTTCATTGGCAGATATTGACTAGTAGAGGAAGAGTAGGTGGACAAATGACATGAGAAAAAAACCAGTGAAACAGTAAGCAAATGTTTGGTGGATGCCAATTTAGCACAATGTGTTATGTGAAAAAAAGAATGGAAGAAAATGTTCATAAACTCAAATTGCTTGTAATTTACTTGGGTCTTTATTGCTTAGTAGCCTGTCCCCTAAGAGGCAGAACAACCTGTATGACTCTGCCCAGGAACACAGAGGACAGAGGACCTCAGTGTGGGATGCTTGGGGGAGATTTCTTGGAGGAGTGAAGTTTGAGCCTGCCTTGAAAGATTGAGAGAATGTAGGTGGGTGGCAGAGAAGGAAAAGGAATTTTTTATTGCCTAGACAATCTCTTTTAAGAAAAATAATTAATTAATTTATTTTTGGCTACGCTGATCTTGCTGTGTGTGGGGTTTCTCTAGTTGCTGCAAGCAGAGGCCAATCTCCAGTTATGGTGCACAGGCTTCTCATTGGGGTGGCTTCTCTTGTTATAGAGCACGGCTTTGGGCATGCAGGCTCCAGTAGTTGTGGCACGTGGGCTTAATTGGCCTGTACAGGTGGAATCTCTCAGGAAGAGGGATGGAACTCGTGTCACCTGCATTGGCCGGCAGATTCTTAACCACTGGATCGCCAGAAAAGTCCTGGCAGTGGTGTCTTATATGAAGGAGACATGAATGTGGTCTGAGGAAGAGTGTTTATGTAGGAGAAAATGGGGAGGGACATGGCTTCACTGGAACAACCAGTGAGGGGAAATAGGGCTGGAGAGGAGAGAGTGCTCCAAGGCCCTCACCTTGTGCTTGCAGCCAGGCATTTGTCAACAGCTAGGGCTTCCCTGGTGGCTCAGATGGTAAAAAATCTGTCTGCAAAGCAGGAGACCCTGGTTTGTTCCCTGGGTCAGAAAGACCCCCTGAAGAAGGGTATGGCAACCCCCTCCACTGTTCTTGCCAGGAGAGTTCCATGGACAGAGGAGCCTGGTGGCCTACAGTCCATGGGATCGCAAAGAGTTACACATGACTGAGGAACTAACACTTTGATTTGTCAACAGCACCAGCTTCAAGGTCTGTTTACTCAGTTGCTAGAGGGTTGGAAGTCAGTTGTGTGTGTTCATTGAAAGGGTTGAGTTACTTGACTTCTAAATCCTTGGGCAGAAACTACCACAGCTTCAGTGGCTGTGGGGAGGTGTCTGCTCTGTGAATGCTTGCGTTTGACCTCTATAGAGGACACCTGACATGGGACAAAATTAAGGAGAAAAGGAGCTGGCCCTTTCACTGGCAGCAGTAAGCTTTCAGCTCCCTCTCTTTTCCTTGGCACCGCTACCACGATGAATTTTCCATTTATTGTTGGGTCGTCAAGGACTACCTGCTGAGGCTTCAGTAGTGGCTAAGACCCAGGTCCTGTTCACAACAATGGGTGGGGCCAGGCAGGAAACCAGGGCTCTTGGTAGAGGGGGTGGGCCTTGGCAAGAATATTGGTGGAGTGCATCTGAAGCACACAGGGGGAGCCCTTGGCCAGCTGGATCCTGAAGGATGGAGCATGAAAGAGCCAAGGATGCGAAGGGGCAGCCCAGACCAAGGGGACGGTGTGTTCAGAGAGTGGGATGGGGAAGCAGGGTACATTTTGACAATGGCAAATAGTTCAGAATAGCTAGAAAGAAGATGGAAGAGGGAGAGAGCAAGAGCCGGGGGGACTACAGCATCTACAGAAGAGCCTAATATAGTTTGCAAATCCTGTGAACTTTCATTTTCAGTCTTTAGAAAGAAGCGTGTATGTTATGACTGCAAGAAAGATTTTTGCTCAGTTTGTTCAGTCTTACAAAAAAAAATCTCCATAGATGTTCCGCTTATCACTTATTACAGAAGATGGCCTTTCAGTGCTCTCAGTTAATGCAACTGAAAGTGAAGGATCTCTGGCAGTATCTCATTCTCAGAAGCATACTAATTGATGCCTGTCAAGAAAAAGAAGACTTGGTAGATTTGATACTGTGCCACCAGGGGCTCAGTTCTGAGGACAACCTGGACATGAGCAGCCTGAATTCCTCAAGGTCCCAGACTTCTAGCTTTTTTACACATTGATTTTTTTTTTTTTTCCAAACTATACAGCCCCATCTGCTACCATGTCTTGAGAGAAGATCTCACTAGGGCACTAAAAATGAGGCTCAGAAAACAAGACACCTGACTAAGATCACAGGATTGTGAAGAAGGCTGTCAGAAATTCAGATTAAAACCTTGAAGAAAAGCTTGATGCCCATCATGCTAGATGATAGCTACCTTCTTCTGAGGACAGGAGCTTGCTTTGTGTGTTGTAGAGCCTTTGAAGGACTAGCAGCATGAGCACCTACCTGGTGCCTGTTAGAAGTGAAGGATTGCAGGCCTGATCCTAGACCCATGGAATCATAATCTTCATTTTAACAGGAGTAGCACTTTGGAATCATCTGGAAGTCTTAAAAATATCAATATGCTTGGTCCTACCTCAGAAATTCTGGCTTTATTCCTATGATGTGGCCTGGCATAGGGATTTTTGTGATCATAACTGATGCTATTATGCAGCTAATGTAAGAACCAGCCTCTGAGTCATTTAGCAGAATGTCCAGGGCCATGGGCAGGGCAGCCAATTGATGAAGGAGGAGAAGGATTCCTGAGGTAGCAACCAGAGGCTCTTTACAGTCAGCCAAAGTCACAGGCTGTTTTGCAGTTTTAAAAATATTATTTTTCATTGAGATACAGTTGATATACAGTGTTTCCAGTGTGTAACATAGTGATTCATAATTTAAAAAAATTTTTTTTAATTAAAAAAAACTTTAAATTGAAGGACAATTGCTTTACAATGTTGTGTTGGTTTCTGCCATATATCAACATGAATCAGCCATAGGTATACTTGTGTCCTCTCCCTCTCGACCCTCCCTCCCACCTCCCTCCCCATCCCACCCCTCTAGGTTGTCACAGAGCCCCCAGTGTGAGTTCCCTGAGTAATACGGCAAATACCTATTGGCTACCTATTTTACATATGGTGATTCACGATTTTTAAAGGTTGAATTCCATTTATAGCTATTGGTGATATTCCTTGTGTTGTACAACTTATTCTTGTATTTTATTTATTTTACACATAGTAATTTGTACTTCTTTTTTTTGACTTTTTGTTTTGTATCGAGATATAGCTGATTAACAAACAATGTTGTGATAGTTTCAGGTGAAAAGAGAAGGAACTCAGCCATATATATACATGTATCCGTTTCCCCTAACTCTCCTCCCATCCAGGCTTTCATATAGCATTGAGCAGAGTTTCATGGTTTCATGTTCCATGCAAGAAGATCCTTCTTGGTTATCCATTTTAAATATGACAGTGTGTACATGTCTATTTCAAACTCCCAAATTATTCCCTCCCCTCATCCTTTTCCCATTTTAGTTTTTTAAATTGAAGTATAGTTGATTTGCAATGTCATATTAGTTTTAAATCTATAGCACAGTGATTCAGTTATATATATATATATATGTTATATATATATATATATATAACATATATATACTTTTTCAGATTATTTTCCTAATAGGTTGTTACCAGTTATTGTTCCCTGTGCTATACAGTAGATCCTTGTTGGTTATCTATTTTATATACAGTAGTGGTGGTGGTTTAGTTACTGTTGTGTCTGAATCTTTGTGACCGCATGGACTGTAGCCCACCAGGCTCCTCTGTCCATGGGGTTCTCCAGGCAAGACTACTGGAGTGGGTTGGCAGTTCCTTCTCCAGGAGATCTTCCCGACCCGGGGATTGAACCCACATTTCCTGCTTGACACGGGCTTTCTTTACCGCTGTGTCACCTGAAAAGCTGTATATAGTAATGTGTGTATGTTAACCCCAACCTCCTAATTTATCTCTTCTTCCCCTTCACCTTTGATAACTATAATTTTGTTTTCTATGTCTGTGAGTCTTTTTCTGTTTTGTAAATAAGTTTATTTGTATTATTTTTTAGATTCCACATATGAGTGATATCATATACTATAATACCCTCCAAGTCCATCCAAGTTGTTGCAGATGACTAAATTTCATTATTTTTGTATTTTTCAATTGGAAAATAATTACTTTACAATGTTGTGTTGGTTTCTGCCATACATCAACATGAATCAATCATACCTCTGTATATATGTATCCCTTCTCTCTTGAGCCTCCTCACTCCCATCCCACCCTCTAGGTTGTCACAGAGTGCCAGGCTGGACTCTGTGTGTTAGATAGCAGTGTTCCACCGGTTATCTATTTTACATATGGTAGTGTATATATGTCAAAGCAAGCTCTGGGAGTTGGGGATGGATAGGAAAGCCTGGTGTGCTGCAGTCCATAGGGCCACAAAGAGTTGGACATGACTGACTAAGCAACTGAACTGACCTGAACTGATATGTCAATGCTACTTTCTCAATTTATCCCACCCTCTCCTTCTCCTGCTGTGTCCATGAGTCCATTCTCTATGTCTGCGTCTCCATGGCTGAATAGTATTCCATTGTGTGTGTGTGTTTGTGTACGTATATATCACACCTTCTTTATCTATTCATCACAGGCTCTTTTTATTTTTTAAATTAATTTGTTTATTTTAATTGGACGCTTATTACTTTACAGTATTGTAGTGGTTTTTGCCATACATCGACATGAATCAGCCATGGGTGCACATGTGTTCCCCATCCAGAAGCCCCCTCTCACCTCCCTCCCCATCCCCCAGGGTCATCCCAGTGCACCAGCTCTGAGCACCCTGTCTCTTGCATCAAACCTGAACCAGCAAGCTGCTTCACATATGATAATATACATGTTTCAACACTACCCTCTCAAATCATCCCACCCCTGCCCTCTCCCACAGAGTCCAAATGACTGTTCTTTACATCTGTGTCTCTTTTGCTGTCTCGCATATAGGGTCATCATTACCATATTTCTAAATTCCATATACATGCGTTAGTATACTGTATTGGTGTTTTTCTTTCTGACTTACTTCACTCTGTATAATAGGCTCCATTTTCATACACCTCATTAGAACCAATTCAAATGCATTCTTTTTAATGGCTGAGTAATATTCCATTGTGTATATGTACCACAGCTTTCTTATCCATTCGTCTGTCGATGGGCGGCTAGGTTGCTTCCATGTCCTGGCTATTGTAAACAGTGCTGTGATGAACATTGGGGTACACGTGTCTCTTTCAATTCTGGTTTCCTCAGTGCATCACAGGCCCTTTTAATCATAAAATGTGCAAAACAGCCTTACCAGGACTCCTCTGGCCTTTTGCATTCCTCAGTGCCCAGTCTTTGGTTCTGTGACTCATTTCTTGATCCCTAGGATGCCTTTGCACTAGTGTCAGCCATTCCTGGCTCCAACTTCAGTTTGCTATTCTTAGAGATTCACTTTGTTTTCTCTTCTTCCTTCCTTCCAATTTCTAGGTTGGTGAGCTATCTGACCACCAGCATTTGTAGCGGCATCTTCTCAGTCCTGAGCAATAACTGGAACCTCACTGAATTGAACCTCAGTGGCAATACCCTGGGGGACCCAGGCATGAAGGTGCTGTGTGAAACACTCCAACAACAGGGTTGTAACATTCGTAGATTGTGGTAAGAATCTGCGTGCGTGTATGTGTATACGGGTTTGTATATGTGTGTGTGTGAGAAAGACAGAAAGGGAGAAGAAGGACCATGTTAGCAGTTTAATAGTTTTCTAAGGCTATCATAACCAAGTACCACAGAGTGGGAGACTTAAATGAGAGAAGTTAACTTTCTCACAATCCTGGGAGCTGGAAGTCCCAGATGAAGTTGTCAGAAGTGTTGGTTTCTTCTGCTACTTCTGTCCTTGGCTATAGATCGCTGTCCTCTCCCTGTGTCTTCACATGATCTCTGTGTGTGTGTCTGATCTCTTCTTCATACAAGGACATCAGTCGTGCTGGATTAGGGCCTGCCCTAATGAAGTCATTTTAACTTAATTACCTTTTTAAAGCCCAATGTAGTTATATTCTAAGGTGCTAAGGGTTGAGACTTCAACATGAACTTTTTTGGGGGGAGACAGCTCAGTCTATTACAAATGGGAAGGCCAAATGGTTTGGAGGACAGTTATTTGAGAAGTTTCAGATGGGGAAGAATAAAGGGGAACTGAAAATAAGTCATTTGTTGGTGGTAGGAAAGGGCATTACTTTTAGGGTCTTCCATTTCTTCATTAGCCATGCTTATAGATGAGAATAGAAGAGTTTCATCAAATACAGAAATGGCTACCTGAGCTGGAACCCATCAAAATATTTTGCATGGATTAAATTGTCACAGGGCATGTCTTGTGGTTCTATAATAAAGTGCTTGCTATGAGCCCACACTCTGACAAACACCCTCTTCTAACATCACAAAAAATGACTATACATGGACATCACCAGATGGCCATACTGAAATCAGATTGATTATATTCTTTGTAGTTGCAGATGGAGAAACTCTATACAGTCAGCAAAAACAAGATCAGGAGCTGACTGTGGCTCAAATCATGAACTCCTTATTGCCAAATCAGACTTAAATTGAAGAAAGTAGGGAAAACTACTAGACCATTCAGGTATGACCTAAATAAAATCTGTTATGATTATACAGTGAAAGTGAGAAATAGATTCAAGGGATTAGGTCTGATAGACAGAGTGCCTAAAGAACTATGGACAGAGGTTTGTGACATTGTAAAGGAGGCAGTGGTCAAGACCATCCCCAAGAAAAAGAAACACAAAAGGCAAAATGGTTGTCTGAGGAGGCCTTACAAATAGCTGAGAAAAGAAGAGAAGCTAAGGGCAAAGGAGAAAAGGAAAGATATACCCATTTGAATGCAGAGTTCCAATGAATAACAAGGAGAGATAAGAAAGCCTTCTCCAGTGATCAATGCAAAGAAATAGAGGAAAACAATAGAATGGGAAAGACCAGAGATCTCTTCAAGAAAATGAGATATACCAAGGGAACATTTCATGGAAAGATGGGCATAATAAAGGACAGAAATGGTAGAGACCTAACAGAAGCAGAAGATATTCAGAAGAGGTGGCAAGAATACACAGAAAAACTATACAAAAAAGATCTTAATGATCCAGATAGCCATGATGCTGTGATCACTCACCTAGAGCCCAACATCTTGGAATGTGAAATCAAGTGAGCCTTAGGAAACATCACTACAAACAAAGCCAGTGGAGGTGATGGAATTGCAGTTGAGCTATTTCAAATCCTAAAAGATGATGCTGTTAAAGTGCTATACTCAGTATGCCAGGAAAACTCAGCAGTGGCCACAGGACTGGAAAAGGTCAGTTTTCATTCCAATCCCAAAGAAAGGCAATGCCAAAGAATGTTCAAATTACTGCACAGTTGCACTCATCTCACATGCTAGCAAATAATGCCCCAAATTCTCCAAGTCAGGCTTCAACAGTATGTAAACCATGAACTTCCAGATGTTCAAGCTAGATTTAGAAAAGACAGAGGAACCAGAGATCAAATTGCCAACATCCGTTGGATCATAGAAAAAGCAAGAAAGTTCCAGAAAAACATCTGCTCTACTGACTATGCCAAAATCTTTGACTGTGTGGATCACAACAAACTATGGAAAATTCTTAAAGAGATGGGAATACTAGACCACCTTACCTACCTCCTGAGAAATCTGTATGTAAGTCAAGAAGCATTAGTTAGAACTGGACATGGAACAACAGACTGATTCCAAATTAAGAAAGGAGTAAGTCAAGGCTCTATATTGTCACCCTGCTTATTTAACTTCTATGCAGAGTACATCATGTGAAATGCTTGGCTGGATGAAGCACAAGCTGAAATCAAGAGTGTTTGGAGAAATATCATTACCCCAGATACACAGATGGCACCACCCTTATGGCAGAAAGCAAAGAAGAACTAAAGAGCCTCTTGATGAAAGTGAAAGAGGACAGTGAAAAAGTTGGTTTAAAACTCCACATTCAAAAACTGAAGATCACGGCATCCGGTCCCATCACTTCATGGCAAATAGATGGGGAAACAATGGAAATATGACAGACTTTATTTTCCTGGGCTCCAAGACCGATGCAGATGATGAGTGTAGCCATGAAATTCAAAGATGCTTGTTCCTTGGACGAAAAGCTATGACCAACTGGTACAGGATATTAAAAAGCAGAGACAAAAAAAAAAAAGCAGAGACATTACTTTGTGACAAAGGTCCATCTAGTCCAAGCTATGATCTTTCCAGTAGTCATGTATGGATGTGAGAGTTGGACTATAGAGAAAGCTGAGCGCTAAAGAATTAATGCTTTTGAACTGTGGTGTTGGAGGAGACTCCTGAGTGTCCCTTGAACTGCAAGGAGACCCAACCAGTCCATCCTAAAGGAAATCAGTCCTGAATGTTCATTGGAAGGACTGATGCTGAAGCTGAAACTCCAATACTTTGGCCACCTGATGTGAAGAACTGACTCATTTGAAAAGACCCTGATTCTGGGAAAGATTGAAGGTGGGAGGAGAAGGGGACGACAGAGGATGAGATGGTTGGATGGCACCACCACTCAACAGACATGAGTTGGAGTAAACTTTAGGAGTTGGTGATGGACAGGGAGGCCTGACGTGCTGCAGTCCCTGGGGAAGCAAAGAGTTGGACACGACTGAGCGACTGAAGTGATGAGCCCGCACTATGAATTAGACTCACATGCCCTGAATCAAGTACATAGTTGTACGGGCCATCCCTCCAATTCTCCTTTGTCACAAATCTGGACTACACAGCCAGTTTTAAAGCCCACCACCTCAGGACATTTTCATACCTTTCTGTGCTGCTCTTAATAACCACCCTATCACCAGTCTTCTTAATTCACCCCCGTACAAGCTGTTTTCCACTTTTCCTCATTCTGATTTTGTTACCATCCAGGGTCCTTAGACTTTTTTTTTTGACTGTGCCACACAGTATATGGGATCTTAGTTCCCTGACCAGGGATTGAGCCCATGTCCTCTGTAGTAGAAGTGGAGTCTTAACCACTGAATCACCAGGCAAGTCCCTTAGACTCTTTTTGCCTTTTGTTTGCCACTGGGCATGTGGGATTTTAGTTCCCTGACCAGGAATTGAACCCATGTTCCCTGCATTGGGAGTGCAGAGTCTTAATCACTGGACTGCCAGGGAAGTAACCTCATAGACTCTTTAACCAATAGAAATCAGTAAAATGCCAGATAAGAAAATTTAAGTTAAGTAAATAAGAAAGTAAAGCCATGGCTTTACTGAGCGTAGTGCTGCAGCATGAGGGAGAGAAAACAAGTAAAGGTACCCTTGCTGGCTCTCTGAGGTGGGGGTGAGCTGGTTTCTTAAATGCAGTGGGGGTAGAGCAGATCAGTGGGTGGGACCAGAGGGATGGCTTAGGTGGTCTGCTCACCCCCTCAGTGGTACCGTGTGCAGGGATCATGTACAGTTACCCTATTTTTGCTCCTGGTTCTTCAGAAATGGCAGCTGGGGATTTTGGCCGTTTTGTATCTTTTTATTCATAATTTCCCTCAACTATGCAGGCATGCAGTTATTTTTAGTCCCTTATAGTTTCTTTCTTTTTTTAATATCCCTATTTTTGGGCTACCTTGTGTGGCCAGGCCCCCTACATAAGAATTGTGGAGTCCTAACTACCAGACCACTAGGGAATCCTCCCTTATAGTTTCTTTTGTATTCTATTGCCCAAGGAGACGTTCATCCAGGTGCAAGCACTGCAGTAAAGGGTCCCAGGTCCCAGCCTGTCTCAACTCCAGCAGCCCAGACCTAACAACCACAATTATTTGCTTAGATAGTGCAATGCCCTCCAAGACTATTAATTTCTTATGACAGGATTCACATTTGTCCTGCAATTGTCTCTATAATGTCTGGACAAGCTCGTACCATTTGTTTGTGTTCAAAAGTACATATCAGATGAATGTTGTCTGTTTGGTGTCCCTGCATCTACTTTTGCCACCCACCATTCATTCTCTGTACAGAAGACAGAGGGTTGCTTAATATTTAAAAAAAATTATGCTTTGATCATGCCATTTCCTTGCTTAAGAGCTTTTTCTTACCTGTTTTGATAAATTATAAAATGTTCTTTTTGCCTTCAAGGTTCTGGCTGATTTTAACATTTAACATTCCTCTCTACCTTTATACCATGCCACTCTCTCCAACAACCCTGTGGATGTGATGCCCCTTTGTGATTCTAGAAAGTGAGACACAAACAGGGAGACATGTGTGAGAATTAGATGTTCTGCAGATGAAGATTTAGTTATCTATTTGCTTCTAGTTGGTGTGGAAATGGAGGCAGAAAAGGTAATCCAACCAGCTCCTAGGACATTTGAAATGAGCTAGAATATTGTTCTTGCTTCTCTGAGAGCGATGATTGTTTTGGTGGTGGTGCTGATAGTGGTGATAGCGTGTGTCTGTATAAAGCAAACCAAGAATCAGAGATGCTCACTCCTTCAGTGTAGATGGAGGGCTGGGATTAAAACATCAAACAAAACAGCAGGGACAAGATTGTCCAAGAGAAAAGGAAGATGCATACAGCCCTAGAGAGAGCAGTATCCATCTGAGGGAGTTTCAGCTGTTAGAAACATGTGGTAAAGAGGTGGAGCCCATCGGCTAACCATTGTTTTCATTTATGAAACAGAAACATGCCATTTAAATACTTGAGAATTGCTCATTATTTAGATGGTGCTCCCTGGCAGCTGTGGTCACAGATTGTGAGCCAGAGAGCCTGAGAACTATCTTCCCAACATGTCTTTTTTTATTTTTTTTTTTACTTATTTTTTAACTGAAGGAAAATTGCTTTATAATGTGTTGGTTTCTGCCATAGTACAAAGCAAATCACTCATAATTTTGCATAGATCACTTCCTTTTTGAGCCTCCCTCTCTTCCCCTCAACCCACCCTTCTAGGTCCTCACAGAGCACCAGACTGGGCTCCTTGTGTTGCATAGCAACTTCCCACCAGCTATTTACTTTAACAGAGGGTGTATATGTCAATGCTACTTTCTCCATTCATCCCACCCTCTCTTTCCCCTACTGTGTCCACAAGTCCGTTCTCTATCTTTGTGTCTCCATTTCTTCCCTGCAAATAGGTTCATTAACATCATTTTTCTAGATTCCATATATATGTGTTAATATACAATACTTGTTTTTCTCTTTCTGACTTACTTCACTGTGTATGACAATCTCTAGGTTCATCCAATTCACTAGAACTGACTCGAATTTTCCCAATATGTCTTGAGCTGTAGTCAGGAGTTTCTGATAAGATGATACTTTCCTTTTTAAAAAAATATTTATTTATGTGTTTGGCTATGTCGGGTCTTAGTTACAACACTTAGGATCTTTGATATTCAGGGTGGCATGTGGGATCTAGTTCCTGACCAGCGGTCAAACCCAGACCCCCAGCTTTGGGAGCACGGACCCTCACCCACTGGACCACAAGGGAAGTCCCAAGATGATACTTTCCTTCATGAAAATTTAGTTATAAATTTAGTTTAATTCTCTTTGTAACATGAGATCACAGTGCCCCTGCCTGGTGCTAAATCCCAGCAGAGACCAGAAGGCAGTGACAGAAAGCAGCCTATGCTCTGAGATCTTTCTGTTTCTGTGCTTGTAATGAAGGTTGGGACAGTGCTGCCTTTCCCATCAGTGCTGCTTCAACATCTCCTCAGTCCTGAGCAATAACCAGAAGCTGGTGGAATTGGACCTGAGCCACAATGCCCTGGGAGACTTCGGGATCAGACTTTTGTGTGTGGGACTGAGGCATCTATTCTGCAATCTGAAGAAGCTCTGGTGAGGCTGAACTAATTTCCCTCATGAAGCAATAGCTGTGGCTTTAATGAGCCATGATGTGTTAGAATTTTAAAGTGAAAATGGCCTTGGGCTACTCAGAGGATTCCCTGTGTTTATCTCTGGATGTTTGTCAATAATTAATTTAGTTAGCATTTTTTGTGAGAAAAGTCACATAGCTGGAGGGGACCTTAAAAAAATCAGAAATATTATGCTTGCCTTAAAGGTATTTATAACCTAACTAAGAAAATAAAACCAATGTATTTTGCTTTAGAAGAGTTTCGGGATTTGACGATAAGGCCTTGGTGCACGTTAAATAGGAAAAATGGGACCAAAGCAATGCAGTTGCTTGACAGTTTATGTAGCTCTTCTCTGAATGCTTGTGGGAGACTTGAATTTTGAAGAAGACAAGAAATCAGTTGAAAATGGTAGGGCCAATTTATACTTGTTAGGGTGGCTATTATAAAAAAGCAAAACACAACAGGGCTATATATTCAGTAAAATAAGCCAGAGGCAAAAGGGAAAATATCATATGATTCCATTTATATGTTATACCTAGAATAGTCAAATTCATAGAGGCAAAAGGTAGAATGGTGGTTTGCAGGGTTTTGGGGGAAGGGAATTTGGAGTTATTGTTTAATGAGTATAGAATTTCAGTTTGGGAATATGGAAAAGAGTTCTGGAGATGGACAGTGGTGATAGTTGCACAGTTATGGGAATATACTTAAGTGCTACTAAACTGTAACACTTATAAATGAATACATGTTTACAATGATACAGTTTATGCTATACATATTTTACCTCAATAAAAATAAATGTAGAGATCTAGGAAGATGTAACATTGCATGGGCTTTGAGGGTGTTTTCTTGCTATTACACCAAATAGAGAAAAAAAAATAGTTAATAAAGAGCTTGGATATACTCTTCTTATGTGTAGACTGGACTATAGGCAAGGGCAGGACAAGTGCTTTCTTGACTCACAGCAGTGTGTGACTGGGTTGAGGGAGGTGTTGTGACCATCTGCCATCTCTCTGAAAGGTTGGTCAGCTGCAGTCTCACATCAGCATGCTGTGAGGACCTTGCATCTGTCCTGAGCACCAATCATTCCTTGACCAGACTCTACTTGGGGGAAAATGCTCTGGGAGACTCAGGAGTTGGGATTTTGTGTGAAAAAGTAAAGAATCCACACTGTAACTTGCAGAAACTGGGGTAAGTCTTCATGAACATCTCAGCAATAAAGTAACTTATTTTCAGTGATACATTATTGGGAAAATATGAATGGGGTTACTTTAAAAAAGATTAATCAGATGGAGTTGAGGGTAGAGAGTGGAAGAGACAATATCTGAAGTAGTTTGAGGTACTAGATACTACCTACGGCTAGTAAGTTTGTTATGTCTCAGTTCAGTTCAGTTCAGTCACTCAGTTATGTCTGACTCTGTGACCCAATGGACTGCAGCATGCCAGGCCTCGCTGTCCATCACCAACTCCTGGAGTATACTCAAACTCATGTCCATTGAGTCAGTGATGCCATCCAACCGACCATCTCATCCTCTGTCATCCCCTTCTCCTCCTGCCTTCAATCTTTCCCAGAATCAGGGTCTTTTCAAATGAGTCAGTTCTTTGCATCAGGTGGCCAAAGGATTAGAGTTTCAGCTTCAGCATCAGCCCTTCCAGTGAACATTCAGGACAGATTTCCTTTAGGATGGACTGGTTGGATCTCCTTGCAGTCCAAGGGACTCTCAAGAGTCTCTAACACCACAGTTCAAAAGCATCAGTTCTTTAGTGCTCAGCTTTCTTTATAGTCCAGCTCTCACATCCATGACTACTGGAAAAACCATAGCCTGACTAGACAGACCTTTGTTGGCAAAGTAATGTCTCTGCTTTTTAATATACTGTCTAGGTTGGTCATAACTTTCCTTCCAAGGAGCAAGTGTCTTTTAATTTTATGGCTGCAGTCACCATTTGCAGTGATTTTGGGTCCCCAAAAATTGTTATGTCTACATGTTACTGAATGCAATTTCCTATGCTCAAAGCACAGTGAGGCCAAATACATTGAAATTTTGGAGTTTGGAGCACAGAAAGATTTATTGCAGGGCCATGAAGGAGATCGGTGACTCTTGCACTCCAAAACCCTGCACTCCATTAAGGGTTTCAGCAAAGCACTTTTGAAGGCAAGTTGAAGTTGCCTTTAACTTGCAATTACACCAAACAGAGAAAAAAAAATAGTTAATAAAGAGCTTAATAGTTAATGAAAGAAAAAGATGCAGTTGGTTGTTGCAAACTCCTTAGTGTTGGAATCCTTTGTTCTTGCAGTTGTCCATGTAGGGCAGGTAAAGCTGTTCTTGTAAACCTCCAAGACAAATGTTATTCTCTGTTCTGCAACTCTTTATCTCCAAATGACTCTTAAAGATCAGAGCCTTGAGAATAGGCTATTCTGTATATTTCAGGCAATAGGAGACATTTTTTAACAATAATTTTAAAAATTAATTTATTATTATTTTTTAAACTTTAATTTTGTATTAAGGTATAATCGATTAACAATGTTGTGGTAGGTTTAGGTGAACAGTGAAGGGACTCAGCCATACAGATACATGTATCCATCCTCCCCCAAACTCCCCTTCCATCCATTCTGGCACATAACATTGAGCAGAGTTCTATGTGCCAAACAATGGGTCCTCACTGGTTATCCATTTTAAATACAGTAGTGTGTACATGTGGAGAAGGCAACGGCACCCCGCTCCAGTACTCTTGCCTGGAAAATCCCATGGGTGGAGGAGCCTGGTGGGCTGCTGCCCATGGGGTCACTAAGAGTTGGACATGACTAAGTGACTTCACTTTCACTTTTCACTTTCATGCATTAGAGAAGGAAATGGCAACCCACTCCAGTATTCTTGCCTGGAGAGTCCCAGGGATGGGGGAGCCTGGTGGGCTGCCGACTATGGGGTCGCACAGAGTTGGACACGACTGAAGCGACTTAGCAGCAGCAGCAGTGTGTACATGACCTTCCCAGAGTCCCTAACTTCTCCTTCCCCCTGGCAGCCATAATTTTGTTTTCTAAGTCTGTGAGTCTCTTTCTATTTTGTAAGTAAGTTCATTTGCATCATTTCTTTTTAGATTCCACATATGAGGGACATCATATGATATTTTCCTTCTCTATCTGACTTCACTCAGTATGACACTCTCTAGGTCCATCTGTGTTGTTGCAAATGGCTAAAACTAATTAATTTGTGTTTGTTTTGGTTGTGTTGGGTCTTCGTTGTTGTGAGGGCTTTCTCTACGTTCGGTGAGCAGAAGTGACACTTCACTGCGGCGCGTGGACTTCTCACTGTGGTGGCTTCTCTTGTTGCAGAGCATGGGCTCTAGGTGCTCAGGCTTCAGTAGTTGCTCTGAGGTATGTGAGATCTACCTGGCCCAGGGATCAAACCCATGTCCCCTGCACTGGCAGGCAGATTCTTAACCACTAGGCCACCCAGGGAAACCCAGGAAACATTCTTTTCAAGGATGCAGAGCCAGCATGACTAAGCACAGTCAACAGAGAAGAACTAGGAAGAACAAGTTCTAATTCCTAACTAGGAATTAGAAGTTCTAATTCCTTACTTATGGGCTTCCCTGGTGGCTCAAAGGTTAAAGCGCCTGCCTCTGATGTGGGAGACCCGGGTTTGATCCCTGGGTCCGGAAAATCTCCTGGAGAAGGAAATGGCAGCCCACTCCAGTATTCTTACCTGGAGAATCCCATGGACGGAGGAGCCTGGTAGGCTACAATCCATGGGGTCACAAAGAGTCGGACACAACTGAGCAACTTCACTTCACTTCACTTCAATTCCTAACTAGTTCCTAACTAGGAAGAACTAGGTCTAATATGGAGTCAGATTTGTTCTTTCCTATTACATATAGAGTCTGGAGCTCAGAGTTGAAAGAAACCTTAGGAATTGTACAGCCCAGTTCGTTATTGAATGAACACTTGCTCCTAAGACATTCATGTGGGTGCACCATGTTTTATGTATGAAAACTTTTAAGCATGCTAGTCATTGCTGCAATGCCTACAGTTCTTATTTCTATACAGCCCCTTCTGTGGTTTTGTGCATTGGTCCTTGTTCTGCTCCTAGAGTCTGCTAAGAGATGCTGATCTTTATTCCTTAGAGGCAACACTCACACTCTAGTTCTTCTCATCTTTTACTTGGATGTCTCTCAATATTTAACTAGGACATGGCTGAATACTTTCACCTATTTAGTTATGCTCTCCTAGGTAAGAGTCAGTCTTTTAATGTCCCTATTTGAAGTGCAGTACCCAGACCTGAACATGACACTCCTAATGATGTGTGGTAGAACTTTAACCTCTTATGGTAGGGCACTATGTTGTCAGTGGTGAGGACTGAGATTTCCTTATATTTTTGGCAGTCACATCAGATCATGAGTTCTATTGTAAGTCTGCAGGAAATAGTAATACACAACTCTGGAGTGTTTTGTAATACCAATAACCAATTCTCTGCAGACACCAATTGGGTGTCTTACAAGTCAGTTAGATTTCGACACTAACCCCACAGCTAAGGGCTCAGTCCTACAAGATTGCCTCCCTACCCCTGCCAATGTCAGACATCAACTTTTAGTAGTGAGTCCCAAGATTACTGACACTTCTATCTGATTTGGCTACAAACTGGGGATTCCCACAACCCCCTATTCAGGTGTGAAACTTTGCTAGATTGACTCACAGAAATCAGGGAGATACTTATGTTTACAGTTTTAAATAAAAGATGTTATAAGGTGTACAAACAGATGAAGAGACACATAGGATGAGGTAGAGAAGAATCTGGAGCCCAGGGGCTTCTCTCTCCATGGAGTTGGGGTGCTCCATCCTCCTGGCATGTAGATGCCAGGTTGGTTAGATTCACTGACCCAGAAGGTCTCCAAAACTCATTGTTCAAGAGATTTTATAGAGCCTTATCTCCAGCCTTCCTTCCCTCTCCTTCCTGGAGGTTAGTGGGTGGGGCTGAAAGTTCCAACTTTCTAACCACTGGGTCTTTCTGATGATTAGCCCTATCCTGAGCCAATCTAAGGGCCCCACTTTAAGTCACCCCATTAACATAATGTAAACTAAATTAACATTAACATAAACATTAACATAAACTCAAATGTGATCAAAAGAGGCTCCTTTGATTAGCAATAGACACTCATGAAAGTGAAAGTTGCTCAGTTGTGTCTGTCTCTTTGTGACCCATGGACTATACAGTCCGTGGAATTCTCCAGGCCAGAATACTGGAGTGGGTAGCCTTTCCCTTCTCCAGGGGATCTTCCCGGCCCAGGGATCGACCCAGGTCTCCTGCATTGCAGACGGATTCTTTACCAGCTGAGCCACAAGGGAAGCCCAAGAATACTGGAGAGGGTAGCCTATCCCTTCTCCAGTGGATCTTCCTGACCCAGGAATTGAACTGGGGTCTCCTGCATTGCAGGTAGATTCTTTACCAACTGAGTTATCAGGGAAGCCCCCAGGAAATTCCAAGGTTTTTAGGACCTCTGAGGTAGGAATGAGGGACAAAAACCAAACATATTTATTATACCATAGGAATACCCTCTGTTACAAGCACTTGACCATGTAACATTGCCCTTCTGTGTTTTTTGCATGGTTTAGTCTCCATTGGCCTTATAAAAACTGACAAGTAGATATAAGTATCTCTAATTTAAAGAGGATAAAATGGGGCTCAAAGAGTTTAAAACCTTTGTCCAAGGACACCCAGGTAAAAGGCAGTGGAACTCAATGCAGACAGAGTCCAGTGTGACCCATCAACCCCTACCTTAACTCCAGCAAAACCTCATGAAGAGTTGGCTAATAGGCTCTCTAAAGGGCTTCTATATCCTGCTCTGTCCAACCTATATGGGATCTAACATTTAACTCTTAATTTTCTTCATATCTTTCTTTTGACTCATTGTCTAAGCATTTTTGAATCATGATCCTGTCAATATTACCCAGACATGAAACAAACAAACTGTAAATGTCTTCATTCACATTACTGACATAAATACCAACTAGATCATTACTAAGTGGAGCAGAAAGTGTCTTTGCTGAGGAATAATCTGTTAGTCCATAATTAAAATCTATAAAAACAAAGCCCTGTTACCTCCCTGAGCCTCTCCCCGTCACCCTTCCTCAGATATTGCCGCATCAATTTACTAAAAAAGTCTATATTCAATGCCTTCACTTCCTTCCCTTATGT